GGCTGCGACAGAATTCGGGGGTTAATCCCCATCTAGCCTCCCCTGATTGCTCCTTTGAGTACAAATCTGTACTAACTATACACTTTACGCGCATCAGCACCGTATTTAAGATTTTGATAAAGATGAGCAACTAGTATTCGGTCACCCCTTCCAATAATCACATAAAAATAGTCATGATTTTTATGACTTTTAAAAAAAATATTTGAATGCAATTTCCAAAACGAAACTTTATTAATTAGGTTTATTTAATGGAAATAAAATCTAAGAAATCGGTTCTAAAAATAGATAATAAGGGTATACAATATAATCCTAGTACAATATGCGTAAAGTAGCTGTTGATCCGAATTTCAACGAATTTTGCTTAACATTTAATAACAGTATTTTGTCTACATGGGAAATACAGCCAAGATTTCTTAGAACTCTTCCAAAATTCATTGCATACCTTATGTCAACGATAATTATTATTGTATAATTTATATTGCTAAATCACAATTTAAAGGGGAAACCCCTGAATTACATGTTGAGCAATCATGCGGCTAATTAATGGTCCATATAATACTGTGACTGATCTAACAAAGTACGTGTGGTAAATAAACGGATCCTTGTGAATGGGTTATTATGTAAAATGTAACATAACCTTACATTGGATAATATCTGTTGCAGGGACGTTGTCTTGGAAACGGTTATTACGTAAATTACACTATATTCATGCGAATAGCAATCAGCATTTTCAGGTTTTCAATTGAAAATTGAGAAGGAAAAATTTCTACGAAAAAAAAAACTATACTATTATACACCTTATAATTGTCGCGCGAAATGAATAACATGAATTAAACCTAAAACCTTATAAAGCCTACGTACCACACACAGTAAAATGCTTCATTTCATTGTTTAATTGTGTAATAACCACAAACAATAAACCGTGTTGTATATAGAATACTATTAATTAATAAAATCAACGATCACTCAAAATGCTACTTTACCATTAGCACTCTTTTTTTATTACCTATATTCACCAATTTTAATAGGAGCTATACAATAATTTTAAATACAACTAGGTTAGACGATTCCACAGGTTTTCCTCTATCCTAATTAATTGAGAAAAGGGCTGATAAGCGATGTCAGCTTTATCGCAATAACTTTCTTCGTTAAAATTAGTATAACAATAATAAAAATGTGATTAATTTCTCTATTAAAATCAATGGTTTTATCGTAGGAATCAAATTCCCCGAAGATATTAATGCTAACTATCCCCTTCCAGAAAGAGTATTTTTATGATTATTATTTAACATTTTTACTTTAATTCCAACATTTGAAGTCTGTAGCCGATTTCGACGTGATGTTATTGTGTAGTGTCAACAATTGTTTATTAGTTGGTCGTCCCCTCCTATTTTTCCAGTGAAATGTTTTTTATTGACATATTTATGCGAACATATATACTCGAGGTACTGTTAGTCCGGCCAACAAGACGATCCGCTCAGAACGCACCCCCGTATAAGATTACCGTAATGCGTTGGCAACCATCCAAAGTGAACATGGTGACTCTTATGTGTGACGACACAGCGGGAGCATTGATGGGCACACGTACCGTGCGTTTGCATCATTTGTTGTCACTTAGTGTAAATACCTCTTGTTCACACAACATGAGAACTAAAGCGTACTTTTTAAGGAATTGACCAAGTCGATAATTGAACGGCGGGAAAATGTTGCACCGAAAACGTGAAATGTATCCTACGTCGCTTTGAATTCACGCGAGCACTGAAAAAAGGCGAGAACAGCTCACTCCAGCGAATTATCCGTCCATGTGATGGCGGCAAAAGCGGTGACACACTGGTCATTTTTACAAAGGCGGTTTGAGGCCGAGCCGGCGGGCTGTTCGCGAAGAACTGTGAAGCCTGCCGACGAATATTCGGCCGCGGGGGTTTATTTCAAGAGCTCACTAACCAATTTATTTATACAAAAGTTAAGTATAGCGCATTAGTAGTGCAGTACCGCCATGGGGGTATAGGACACGAGTATAAACGTCGCTGAGCGGTATGGTTTTATTTCTGTCTTGTGTCTATATAAAGATCGCCAACGGCCGCCAGTCGGTGCTGCCACCGACGCCTCGTTTGTTTTTCTTTCGCGTCCGACAAATTTTCGTTGAGCTTTTATTACCAATCGTAGAACATTCACAGGGACACCGGTTTAAATTATACTCCTCTCGTACGGTGACAGCGGCAGAGATAGCAATGGTTGGTGGTGGCACGTGTCACAAACCACCAGCGGCGTATGTGTAATGTGGACGTGCCCGCGTCTTGGCAGGAGGGGAACCCAAAACATATGGGTCGACAACGTTGCGCACCTGCGACAGGCGGAACGACCACCGCAACATTATAGTACACACACATGGACACTGAGGGGGTTAATCCTTCTAACCTAAATGTACAAGCGTACAGTTTTACCCGAACGAATAATATTACATTGTTTTCCTACTAACAATTTCATTGGCTTCGGTGTCGCACTTTGATCGTTTGCGTAGAGATTTGACGGGAGCAAACTTGTTTAAATATATTCAGCTAAATAATTTACTGACTTTGCCAGTGTTCCTTACTTCCCTCTGAACTTGACATTAACTACGTCTAATTTCAGGTAGCACCTCAAGTGTGCCGAACACCAGAATACTGATAACAACCGATATTAACACAAATATATGATATATTTGATATACGAATTTCATTGTAAAATAAATACTGCAGGAAATTAATAAAAATAAATAGGAGTTAGACAATTAAGTAGTTTGCTCAAATACACGTGGACATAATTTTAAACATTCAAACTTATTTTAATGAGAAAGCCAACAGTTTTCGCGGTAGCAACTAATATACACACAAAATGTATACTTAGCATGTAATAAACGTTATTTGAAGGACAGTCGAAATGTCAGCATTAAATACTTCGAAAACTTAATTTTTTTTTTGTGCTCAAAAAAGTAGACATTTCCAACGCGGCTTTACGCCTGTCCAAGAAAGTTTGCGTTTTAACACTAGTAGATATAATTACACAACGCAAAACTAAAATATCACGTGATGGATCTTAATAATGCGCGTGAATCGCCATGGATCACGAACAATATGAAAAACGTCACCGCGTGTCACATTAGTACTGTGTTATTGAAGCGTACCACAATAAGAAATAGGTTAACATCGCTTGAAGTGAAACATTTTCTTAAGAAACAACAATAATGCGCACTGCTGTTTTACATGAGTTTGTATACGAATGTCGCTGATTACAAATGTTTATTACCAACAGTGTTTATATACCGGGTAATCGGTAAGAGTACTTGTGTAGGAACGTCACTCGTAATTGCGTACGTCCATTTTTAACACCCGCCGCCGTTTCATTTTGCCCATTTGATAGAGACGAATTATGGCGACAAAGGTTCTCTGAATAATTATGAAATTTTGAAACAATGCTCAAATAAGAATAGAAGGTAGTTTTTATTTAATGTATTTAAACTATATTTCTAGCCGAATTATACATTTTTGATTCCAATTTCCATGTTTCACAAATTAGAGGATAACCAAAATAATCAGGAATCATGTCTCATTCTCACAATGATCATAATCCTGAAGAAGCTTATACGACATTTAGAAGCTAAATTATGTTCTAATGGTAAAAAGTAGAAAAATAATATTCTTCCGAAGAGCTGTGAAAATTATTACAATATATCTAACAATTTATCTGATAACTTAAGGTTTCAGTTTTCAACAAAATAAAAATTAGAACAAGTATTAATAATAAAACAATTCATGTAACGTTTGATTTGAAGTTAGTGAGTCAAATATCATTTGCTACGATCTCAAAGGCAAAGAACAGCAGTACATTATAAAAAATTATATCATTTAATTTTATTAAGAGTTTTTATTTCATAGAACATGATTTTAGATCACTCTACTATATTACAATAAAACTTTGGAAATTACAGAGTATATTATAAGATTTGGAAATCTTTAGANACTTTGGAAATTACAGAGTATATTATAAGATTTGGAAATCTTTAGATTTAGAAAGCATTTTTTGTCACTTTTTTAATTTTTATAATTTTGAACTATAATAAAATAGTATTTTTATTATTTGTCTAGTAAAAAAAAAAAATTGAATAAATATGTTTTAATTTTTTTTTTATTTCAAAAATACTTTTTATGTCTTCTCTTACAAAAATGTTTGATGAATCGATAACAGCTTTAGGATAAATACTTATCGAGATACAAGCATTATAAATATAATATGTGGAGTATGCATTATAAATATATATCAATACGAACTGTACCCACCCACGCAAATACCGATTCAATGTATTAAAATGTTAGGAACTCATCCTAAAGTTGTTAGCGATACCAATCAAAATGTTTTGCAAGAAAAGAGCTAAAAAATGTCTATTTTAGAATTTCAAAGTAGTTAAAAATTGTTCAAAATATATAATTTTTATTATTAGAGATAAACAACATAGTTTAAAACTATATACTTAATTAAAAAAGAAAGTGACAAAATATTTGCTAGGTCAAAATTTTATGATACAATCTGTATGATAATTGGTTATAGTTATAGAACCAAATCAAAAGAGATTGAAAGTGAATTTTAAATTTTGATACTAAGACATTGAGCTACAGAAACAGCAATTTAAAATACACGACAAAATAGAATACACATAAATGTAATACTATATAGTCACAGCTAATTGGGCAATTAAACTATGTTTTAATTACTAGTAGCGTTTCTTAATAATTATTGCTTGTCGTAAGTAAGCTAGTGCAGATTAGTATTATGACCAATGCGCTGTTTTTCTGTTGACAATTGGAAGAAGTTGTTGCGTTTATCGAACAAATTAGACAAATACATTGAACGATAAGACGATAATCGGGTATTAGTGCTGTACTGCTTATTTTCTTTGTTAATTTAAAATTGCTTAATTTGATTTTTCGATTTTAATATACTATTTGTAAATATTATAAACTTACCACGTCACAAGGCACATCACTTCGGACAGAAGTTTTCACAGTAATTGTTTCCTGTAAGAAAATGACATTTATAAAAATTACCTAATGAAAAGGTTATTTTAATAAACATTAATTGAGCAATTTGATTTATTGATTACATTTTTAATTATCCGAAAATGAAAGTATATACATAATTGTTGTGTAAAGTGTCTACATATACAGTAAAAATCGATTGCGTCAAACATCTATCAATGTTCGACATAGGTAAATATTTTAGAACAATCACAGAGCTACACGAATGTTATGTTTACATACTACAATACAAATAAGTACATTTTGTTCAAGGGCCAGTCCTCTTTACCTTTGTATAATATTAAATTGTGTAAACTTTTAGAATTAAATGCAACTCACTGTATGGCAACGGTATTATTTGGCGCATGTTAATGAAAAATATTTCAGTGCGCGACAAAATAAATGAACGCGTATAGCGTTAACCTAGACATTGAAATAAAAATGTTAATGACTCTCATTTATTTTTTTAATACAGAGAACTTTAAGTATATTATACTATTGGTTTGTAGATACAGATGTTATTTAGCAACAAAACATTGTTACATATTAAAAAAAAATTGGAGTAACACTGAACGTTAAATATAATAAAACATACATAATCTCAAAAAATTATTTTAGTATCGATAGAGTAAAAATTCCGCTAGCATTCTAGATATTACACCTAAAAACAGTAACCCGGCTTATATTAAAATTTCAAGTTTTCCTAGTAAAAATTGACACGAATTAATTTATTTATTCCAATAATATATTAATATTAAATTTATGTTAATGTATTATGATGGAATGTTGACTGAATAACTACGATTTTCAGCACGTTTCTTGAAGTTTTTTTAATTAATTTTATAAATTGAATATCTAAAAAATCAGTGCTTTGAAATATTGCCTCATTTATACTTAATTTTATACGGTATAATTTTATTTTATTCATTTAAGCCTATGGTTTAAATTTGTATCATTCAGAAAAAAAAATGTTTACATATAAGCAATTATAATTAATAGTAGAAATAAATAAACACAACAAATGGCATTTTAGTTTAAATAAGTATCTTTAAATTAAAGTATCTTTTTATGGTTAAGTTTTAAACAAAAAGATAATAATAATACACAGATTAAAAAAAGTACTAATTATTTTCCCATTTAAATTTTATTTTATTATTAATAGTTTTCAGGTAAATATCGTTTCATAACCCTTAATCTTCTTTTGTATAGATTTTTAATTGCAGTATACACAAGGCCGTGTTTGGGAGGCGAGTAACGAGGCGCCAAAATAATATGAGCATATTTTATTTTTTCATAAGATGTAGTTTGTTTAAAAATATATTAATTAGGGGAACCAAACATATAAAAGTTAACATGACTCTTAGTGTGTACTAAATACACATATAAAATATCATTAAAATAAAAAAGTTGATCTAAATAAAAAACATCTTGGGATATAAATTGAGAATAAAAATGTCCATATGCCTAGTAAAAAAAATTGATTCGACTTACAATTGATAATTGAACGTCAAATGTTTTATTAAATATTTTTTTTATTTAGAAACAACAACACACTTAATTTTGCTATCCAGACTTAATTAGTACAAATATCAATATAGTTTTATTCGTTATTTTAGTTAAGTAATTCAATTTTATTAGCACTTATAAGTTAATTAAGATATATAATATATTATGAATTCATATAGAAAGACTTATAATCTTAATGCCTTGTACATCAAATAAATGATATAAATATAATTCAAGTAGATAAATTCTTTTAATTTTTGAAAAACATTTAATGCAATAACACTTCACGTTAATTTCAGTAGCCGATTTTAACCGATTCAATATGTTATGAAGTATTTAACAAACTTAATTAATTAATAAAATTAGGAATTTAATTTGATTTTAATACAATTTATTTTTGAATACACTTAATACGCTCAATTCAAAATTGAAATTGAAATTTAAAAATGATACTTAGTTTATATTTGGACTTCTTAAATTATTTTTCATTCAATTTTAGTACTACTATTACATTTTTATAATAATTTATTAGTATCTAACTTATAATAAATTTTGTAATTTACCAGACTTAAAATTTGTTTTTAATCGATCGATAGCAAAAAAATATGCAGGTGTACTACATATAATTTAAGCATATGTAGCAAAGTAAAACAATAAGTAAAATTCATATCACTGGAACATTATTAATTATACTCAAAACATTTTTATATTACTTATTTATTCATACATTTTTATATACACTAAATCAATATAGAAATTATATTGTTTTCTTCGCGATAATTCTCAATAATAAGTGTAAAACACAAAAATATCATAATGATCAGTGGAAAACAACTAATGTGCGGCGAATAGAAACAAAAATGATATAGTTATAGTAAAAATATAATGAAGATATATTTAAAAATAAACATTTAATTCCATTCCTTCCTTTTTTCTCCCCTTAATCTCAACTACTTTGGGTAGGCCAGCTTCATCCTAAAATTTCACTTGACAAAAGATTTCTCACATCAGCTGTCCTCATATCGCAATCAATTACATTCCTCCATCACTTTTTTGGTCATTCTCTACCTCTTCTTCATTGTACATTCAGAAATTAACATTTAATTATTTTTTTTATTGTAAAATTGAATAGTATTTTACAGTAAAAATCCTAGCATATAAAACTAGGGCTAAGAACTTAGAGTATTTACTTATTTCTATTGTTTGAAATATAATATAGTATAATGCTGTAGATATATATCGTGTAATGACGAATTAGGATATGAAATTTTTTTGAATATTAAAAAAAACTGTTTTTTCTGTATACAATCTGTATATAATAAGGGGAGAAAAAAGAGGAAGAGAATCTGTATAAAATGCTTTTTAGTGTAATATACATACATTAATAATAAAAGATAATGACATACATAAAGGGAGCACAAAGACACATACACTCTCATTGACAGCGCAATGATGACATAAAAATATTTAACCTATTTTTACCATAATCTGATCAAAATGAGTAAAAAGATTTGATGGCAATTTGTCAATTGAAAAATTTTATTTGTGCCTGCCCTACTATGAATTTTTTAACACGTCCCCAATACAACGGTTCATAGGCGCCCACAAAGAATAAAGGAGGGTTTTCACTCCATTATTCATTCATAGTCCCAAAAATATTGTTAAAATTTTATGTCAATTTATATAGAAATATTTTTGAGAGAAGAAATTAAGTTAGATCCTATAAGCATTTTTTTCGAATTACATTTAAGGAAAGACTTAAAATGAAATGTTATAATTTAAATAGTTTTGTTGATATGGCATGAGCTTAGGCCTTCTTCGTTCTAACGATTAGGTAAAAAGGAATGTCGGGAGTAATTAATAACACACTTCACATATATAATGAGTTTGGTCACCTGTTGCGATCGAGTCTATTTTTTTAACTACTTAAAGTTAATTAAAAACATAGTAGTTAAACGTCAAAATGTCACATAGTACTTTTGTACGGAATAGTATTATAATAAAATTAATATTATTCTATGGCTACTTTAATATAAACTGAATATAAATAAAATGATACATAATTATTCAAAGGAAAATTAGACGATTAATTTAAATGCATAAACTTTTATTGATGTTTAAAACACATATTTATAGTTAATACTTTAAAAATATTCCATACTTTCGAACAACAATAAAATTGCATATTTATGAAGAGAGCATAATTAGTAAAAAAATTGGTCAAAAGAAGGTACATACTCTAAAAGTTCTAACAATACAAATAAAATACTGGATTACATTCAAGTAAATCAGAAATATACCTTTTGAACTTCAGCATTACCTTTTACTAGGCCACGCTGTATTATAATACATTATTTTTATCAGCTCTTATCGCAGTTCATTTGTGCTTACAATGCACTAATAACATGTTCATTATGCATGCAAAACTTTTCATTAAAACTGTCCATTTACAGTAGACAATAATAACCGAAGATAATTATTACAACCAAGTTGCATCCTAATTGTGATTGTCCAGCTATTATCATTAAAACTACTACTAAACTACGATAATATGGTAATACTGCACAAATTAATAGAAAATTAAATATTACTGAGTATTAAAAAGTCAAACGTTCCTAATACCACTACAAAAATACTATGTAAGTGTAGAAAAATAAATTTTGTGCGATAACCGTGATTGATCAATTTTTAATAGGTGTTTAATAAAGGTTAATTTTTAAGCATAAACAAATGAATTATTTTATGTTTTTGTTCAAAACGCAATTAGTTGGCAATTTATGAAGAACAAGTACTCATAATTTTTATTTGTAAACGAAAATTAAATTGTGTGATAATGTATTGTGGTCTGGAGTAGTATTAATTTTCATAACCGTATTATGAAAGTTGTAAGTCTGATTTTTTATAATCAAATCTTATCATATTCCAAACAAACGTTGAAATATGTTATGACTTATTAAATAGTTGATAGTTTATTTTAGGTCACATAATAAATATTAAATAGAAAATGTCGATTAATAACTAAACATGTGTAACTACTAATGGAAATTAAACACAGCATGAGATAACAAAATCAAAATAAACATGTTTCATAAACATAGATTACTTGTTTATGATTTGAAAACCGTAGAAAAATATCTCACAATTATATACAAGATTTTAAAATCATTTTTGTACATAAATATTTGCACAACACATTTACTTAAACGCAATTAATCTATAATATGTAAGCAACCTTCTTTTTAAAGACTATATCAGATTACTATACAGATTTACATTTTAATTGGTCTTTTCACTATAAAAAAAATATGTTCTTATTATTTATTTATTAGGATATGTTTTTGAAAAAAATAAAGATGGCATTTGGTAGTTCAATTATATTGAGTAAATTATATAATGTTATTTAATGGCCACTGATTAAAAACATTGATATCACCAGCAAAACCCTTTTTTGTTTTACCGTATCACTAAAGACGTATTTTGACAACTAAATCATC